CCTGTAATAATATTTTTAACGTGTTTTACACGTAATATTTCGTGTAACATAGTAAACTTTAACAATTTTTTTTAGAACTTTGAGACGGTCAATTGTAATTTAATTAGTCTTATTTTGCACGTATTTATGTAAAGAATAAACTGTAAAAATTTGGAACAATTCTCACATAACTGATTTTACGAAAGAACTACCTTAAGATTAAAATATTATACCTTTCTCTATAATAAATACGACTGGCGCTATATCAATCCTATTTTAAGATATATTGAAGTGTAATAGTATTGGATCCGGAAATGTTTTCTGTGGATGTACCATACTTTGACGATACGAACTGTTTACGCCGGCCGTATAGAGAGATGTTAATAAATGATGCGCCCCAACTGATTGTAACGCGCATATCTTTTAATGATACTTGAGGTAGTAAACGATATAACTAAAGTTTCAATAGACTGTACTCCAAATTAAAATAAAATTAATTTGTGCACATGAATCCATTGTTTGGTAGATCTTGGCCTTTTATGTTTCGTTTAAGTTTATTAAGTACATTCAATGTTTCTACTCATTTTAATGTGTGTATTAAAACGTCCATTGTGATTTATCGAACTGATTGTGAGTTTGAGGTTTCATAAATCAATATTGAGTAAATATTGGGACAAAATCTTCCCTGCATCCAACATTACAACGCGATACTTTACGTCGTGCAGATAAAATAACAATGTGTTGAAAAAATTTGTCGCAACACTTGATACCATTGGATGGTCCATATTAATAAAAAACGGAAGACTCCAGTTGCTCTCTCGTGTACAGAGAGGGATAGCGCGAAACGAAAGGGTGAGTAGAGCGAGAAAGGCCCGGGGGGGGGGAGGAGAGAGAGAGAGAGAGGGGGGGAGGGGGTTGGTGCGGGTGCAGGGACGAGAGGACAGATTCTGGCACACAATGTGCTGGAGCGGCGGAAGTGCTCGAAGAGGCGCTCAGGTTTTGAGTTATGACACTTTTTGAGTCGAGGAGTCGCATTGTGAATGGCGCATCCGGGTCCGGCGTAATATCCTACCTCGATCTCAGAGCCGGGTGGCGATAAATCTGCCTTAAATAAGATTTGCCGGCGACACTCCGGCGAAATAAAAGGAGCGGCGGCGGCTAGGCAGCGCGGGCTGCAGGATGCCGGAGCTTGTTACTTCTTCGACTTTAGCCCGTTGATGTGCTTCGCTCGCCGGTTCATGCCGGAGTTAATGAGTAGCCTGGAGTCTTCGTCTTCATCCTAATTGCGAGCGCGCTGCAGCAACGGCAACGGCAACAGCAGTTTCATCGCCCTCAATTTCTCGTCTACTGTGATGACTCTTGCCGTATAAAGGAAATGACGAAGTGCGCCGTCGAGACCCCTTTTTACGAACCTTTGCGCTCCAAGTTTATTCGCCTGCCTCCGTCGAATAAATTATACAAATGAGTGAGTGATAACGCAAGCGATACCAAGAGCATTAGTGTAATTATAATAAAGTGCGACCGTAACAAATATTATATTTCAAACGTATGCCTTTTTGTAATCTTCGAAATTTTATCGGTAGTTGACATACGTTTTTATTATAAGTGTAATAATTAGTATAAGTACCGCAGGTTTTCCTTAACAATAAGCATTTTTCTTTAACATTAGTAGCACATAAATTAAATATGTCGTCCACATGTCATGAATCGTAATTTTATATCTTGATAATCTCTGTGCTCGGATAATTTGTACAATTAGGTGCCAGTTGTATTGTTACTTTATTATTCTTATTATTATTATATATTGTGCCATAAAATAAATCCATTAATCTTAATATCGGGTATTGTATGATATACATGTGTATTTTCCGAGTACGTGCAATACACGCACACAATGCTCCACTTTTTATTACGTTTTTTTATTACATTTATTTTGCGTTGACAGTACTGGGAAAAATGCCGAGGAAAAGCATTTTCAAGCAAATTCACGTTTGAAAAATATAATTTTCTCTCATTAAGCTCGGTTCGTGAAGAATCTCTTATTTTTAATAGCTAATTACTTTACACAGTAATATAGACCTTTGCCTTGAGAAGTGTTTTCAGGAAAAATTAATTTCAGATTGGCAAAAGACTTTTCAAAAAATAACACAGTAGAAAATAACGCTCGGTACATGACTCTAGTATTCCTCGCAGTCTGTAATTAGAATGTGTTACAGTAAATTAATTAAGAGTTCATTTCGGAGTAATTAATGCTCGCCGAGCGAAGAAATTCACGACTCTATCTGGCGCATAAAACGGGGAGTTACCATATCATAAGAATACCCGAATAAATGCTGCAGAACGAAAACAGCTCCGCGATTGCGAATTATGTATATAGTTTCTCGAGTTTTATAGTCTCTTGGAATTATGAAGTTGCATTGTGAAAGTGACGGCAATAAATCAGGTTCAAGATTAAATTGTAGGAAATATGATTTGTTGCTGACGTAAAATAGCGGGGAAACGCGAAAGGGAAATTCTAGTAGTTTACGTCGGAATTTATGTTGACGTATGTGCTTTTTCCATGATAATACGCATTAATTATTTACCTTGCGTATTCCTAACTTTTTGTTTGCTCTAAAGGCAAACGTCGCGGATGGTTTAGAATTGTACAAATAATTTAAGTATTAATAATCTCCAAATACCATCTTCCTTCGTTGATTGCCAATATTTAAGGATGTATCGGACCTATCTTCAAAATAGTACAAAGTCGCTAAAAATTTGTGAAATTGTTCTTTTAGTCTTCCTAATTTATTGCAGAAAAGTAAAAATGCATCCACTAAACGGTTGCTAGG